TAATCCACTCTGCAACCCTCATTGCATACTCCTACGATAAAAATAATGCCCTAAAATATAATACTTTTAGACTATTCTCAGATCTTTTGTTCACAGGGTCACTATGAGTCATACTCGACTTGACGGCACCTAACAAGAACCACAACAGCAACTATTATACCATTGTCAGAAAAGGAAAGAGAAGTCTGATCTATAGAGAAAAAAAGGATGGACATGTTTTGGTCCAAGGAGCCAAATAGTAAGTATCTATAAAGAAGAATCACAGTTGTGTTCTAATAGGATTCCTCTCCGTCAAGGGTGAGCCATGTACATAAGGGGAAAGCTGATGATCCCTTTTTAGTTTCTTCATGCCACAAACTAATGATAGTATTAACCAAAATAATGATTATAAAACACAGATTAACAAATCACTATGTAGAATGTATTACAGAAAATAAATCCTCAGTTAGCAATTATTATGTTATGGTCTATTGGGGGTTTAGTGGTGAGCCCAGGGCATTAAAGTGCCACAGAAAAGGAACAAGGGCCAGTAGAGACTGAAGGTGGTGGAGATACACAAACATAGATGTGAATTATTTAATGATATTGGTTAGGACATGCCCTAAAAAAAGACTGTGCCCTAGAAAAGACTATTCTAACCCATCTATGCGTATCCACAGCATAATTTTAATATTCTGTCTACATCTAGGATTCTTCTAAAAACATTTACTGTAATGGTAATTAGCCCAAGTATCCACTAATCAGGAATGAAAGTTATACATATGTATTCTCAAACAGTACACTTCAGACCCTAACTACTCTCTTCCTAAATATTACCTGAAATACAGAAAATATTACTGTCTTTACTTTCTCTCTAATCCTTTTACAGTTTCAATATGCTCTTACTTGACAAGTACTAATGAGCAAATCAGAGATTTAATCAACACTATTACAGAAAAATACATCATGAAAACCCTTAAATTACAAGTGAGTTGAGTCCCAGAAAGTGTGTGCATGTTTCCATGAGTATTTTGAAACTGATAGCTTACAGTCTGAAAAACATTTTTCTACAACAGTTGTCATATCAGTTCTCTATAAAGGTTACACTTAGTTACACGACAAAGTTGCACACTATAACACATTTACCCAACCTTGTAATGGAGGTTGTAGCCAGGTCAGTAAGTCAATAAAAAGAATTAAATGTATTAATTTGAAAGGGATGGAGTAAAACTTTCTCTATTTCCAGAACATTTTATTGTTAATGCAAAAAGAAATAATACATCTACAAAAGATATTAGAATTACTAGCAGTACGTTTAGCAACTCTCAATGATTGAAGATCAACTTTAAACAATGATTCTATGGGAGACTGATGGGCAATCTCCTTTCATGAGATTTACATCCTTGGAAACCAAGGATCACCTTGTATCTGCTGGGTCAGCTATATATCCAACTTAAGTATATATACAAAAGTACTCAAAAAGGGTCATATTTAAATGTAAAACTTGAAATAATATTTCTAAGAGCAAATGTAACAAAAACTCTTTCTGGAAATGTAAGTTAAGCAGATGTTTTAGATATGACAAAAATTTTAACTAAAGGTGAGAGTATTTTATAAAAATTTTAAACTGTTGTTTCAATAAAGACACCTTTAAAAGAATAAAAGAAAAAGAATAAGATAAGCCTGATTGGAAGAAAATGTTGTAAAGTATACATGGGAGCTCACATGTGACTAATAAATTTTGTACAGAATATAAAAAGAACTTTTAAATAATGCAAAAAAAGACATAAAATTTGAATGAATTCTTGCTTTATATAAAAAATTGTCAACGGTAATTAGACATTTGGAGAAATGCTCAATATCATTAACCATCAGAGAAACAGAAATTAAAAGTACAATGCATACTATTTAAAGTGGCTAAAATTTTTAAAAGACTATGACAAGTTTTGGTAAAGATGTGGAGAACTGGAATTTTCATGTGTTTCTAGGAAAGCAAAACAGTACAACTCCTTTGGAAAATAGTTTAGGCTCTTTAAAATTAAAAGTATCATCAACATAGAAATACCATTCACTTCTTAGTTTTACAGAAGAAAATGTATAGATAGATAGACATAAAGATTGTGAACAACTGTTTACAGCACCTTTATTTGTAATGACAAAAACTTTGAACAATTAAAAACCTCCCTAAAAAGACCTGTGATAAACTCACACAATGAAATACTTCTTGTTATAGCATACTGCCTAGTCAGGACCAACCCATAACTGACCCCCTAGCAGGTTTTCATAAGCAGTAAACCTCACGTGAATGGACTGCCCACTTTTCTCTTGCAGAGTGTAAAACTGTTTTGGTAACAGGTGCTGTCAAGTCGAGTAGTGACTCATAGTGACCCTATAAACTGATTTGAACCCTGTCCTATCTTATTCCATCCTCATCATCTCTGACATATTTAAGACCATTGCTGCACTCACTGTGTTAATCCATCCTGTAAAAGATCTTCCTGGCTTTCAATGACTCTACTTTTTCAAGCATGATGTCCCTCTACAAGGAACGGCATATTCTTAAAAACATATCCAAAGTATGTGAGACAGGCTTTGCCATCTTTGTTCCAAGGAGCATCTGATCTTCTGTAGCAAGTATTCCAAGTCCTCCTCATCTCAGCAAGCAAGGTTCTGTCATCTGCATAACATAGGTTTTGATGAGTCTTCCTGACATATTCTTCTTTATAGAGTCCAGCTTCTCAAATGATTTGCTCAGTGTACAGACTAAATATGAATGGAGAAAAGAATACACTCTGACATATACCATTCCTGATTTTAAACCATGCAGTCTTCTCTTGCTGTTTGAACAATAGCTTCTAGTCTAGGTCTAGGTCTAGGTCTACATCTGACATAAGCACAATTAAGTGTGTTGTGATTCCCATTCTCTACAATGCTTAGCCATAATTTATATGTTATGATCCACACAGTCAAATGCCTTTACTTGGTGCAACACAATTTACCAAGAAATGGAGCTAACAATTAAGGTAGCTCTGGTGGCCTAGAGGATAGGGAGTTGTACTCTCAAACCAAAACAGGCAATTTGATCCTATCAACTGGTTCATAGGAAGAAAATGGACTGTCATCACCATTACCCTGTTTTTTCTGGTCCCCA